AAGTGAAAAAGGTGATTTATGCAAGCAGAATGCAGGTGATTCTGTGTCATCCCAGGCTGTTGGCAAGGTTAAAGTAGGAGAAAGCAAGGAAGGTGAAAGTGATTCTCAACCAGGGACTGAGCGCCTCGTCAACAAAGGTATGGACAAGGCTGTGGGTAAGCTGGATGAAAGTATTTTCAAAAGGTGGGAAAATGAGTCTGTGTCCATCTCCCGTTCTTCCAGCGACACGAGCTCAGGAAGCGAGGCTAACATCTGTAAGGGTGGGCCTGGAAAGCCATGCGGAGAGGCTGTTCAAGCTGGGGATGCGGGCGTCCTTTGCGACAGATGTCACAACTGGTACCACACTGCATGCCAGGGCATCCCGAAGCTGGCTATGAAAGCGCTGGAAAAATACAAGGTTCTTGCTTGGCTCTGCACTAGTTGCAAGGCAGATCTGAAAAGGGGTAAACCACATCGCCCCTCGCTCTCGTCTCTGTCAAGTAAGGTTGACCTGCTCGATGAAACCCTCCGTGGCCACATGGCTGAAGTTCAGCAATCTCTGAAAGAGTATGAGTCAGTCATCAAAGTCCAGTTTGCAGAACTGAAGTCTGACCGGGAGAAGACCATCCAGCTTGTAGACAAATCTCTGAAGGGGAATGAGCTGCATAAGACATATGCTGATATGGTAAAGGGCACCTGCGACGAGGTAGTGAAGAAGGTCAGTGATCAGATCTCTGCCTTCCCTAAAGTGGGTACTCAAGCTGGATCCAAGGGTGTACAGGACCTGTCTGTTGCCCTGGATGACTATATGGACAAAGAAAAGAGGAAATCCAACATTGTAGTCCACAACTTGCCTGAACAGGATAGCGAGACCCAGACAGATAGATCTGGACACGATTCCTCCCTCTTCATAACCATGATCAAGGAAGAAATGAAGTTGAAGGTCAACGTTCAAAAAACTTTTCGAGTCGGAAAGAAAATTGAGGGCAAGGATAGGCTTCTGATAGTCGCCCTGGAAAATGTCTCAACAAAATATGACATCCTGAAACTCGCCCCCCAGCTGCGTCACTCTAAAAAGTTTCCGAGGGTATATGTCACTCCTGATCTGACCAGAAAGGAGAGGGAAATTAACAAGAGGCTGAGAGACGAACTAAATAGTCGGAAGAGGGCTGGTGAAACCAACTTAACTATCAGAGGCAATAGGATTGTCAGCCTACCACCATCATCTGGGCCAAATCACAGGGGCACAGCAACAAACCGGCATGGTGCTACAGCCCCTGCCACCGTTGAAGCTGAGGCAGCTGTTGGGCAGGACCGAGCGCTGCCTGTCACTCATTCCAGAACTGAGCTGGCTGAGGTTGGAGGGCTGGCTGTCGCTCCCAGAGCTGGCAGTGACCACCCTACTCAACCACAGCCTCCCCAACAGTCTGAAGGTAACCGGAACAACAACCAACAGGCCGAGACAACTGCCCAGCCAGACAATGCAAGTCATAGAGGCAACTGTCCTGTTCCTGAGGCCAATGCACCTGTTGCTGGAGCTGGAGGGCTGGCTGCTGCTCACTCAGGAGCTGGCAGTGACCACCCTACCCAGGCAGCCAATGCTGGCCAAGGCTCAGCAAACGGGAACAGTGGGACAGCCTCTGGTAGTGTTTGACTAGCGGTGAATTCTGAGGGCAGGAAAAGGACAAACTTGCAAGTACTCTACACGAATGCTGACCAATTTCCTAACAAAAGAGACGAGCTCTGCATGAGAATTGCTGGGAATGAGCCAGACGTCATCATGATTACTGAAGTCATTCCAAAAGCCCAAACTGTTCCCATTGCTACAGCTCTGCTAGCTGTCCCCGGGTATTCCATGCACACAAATTTTGACCCTTCTGTATCCAACCTGGGCTCAAGTGGCTGTCGTGGAGTAAGCATTTACATCAAAGACAATTTGAAAGCATCTGTGGTCAACTTTGGCATGACAACTCATATTGAGCAGCTCTGGTTGCAACTCCCACTGATGGGAAATGACAAGCTTCTGATTGGATGCCTATACCGCAGTCCAACCCTGAGCACACAAGAGAGTTCCACTGAGCTATGTCAACTTTTGCGTACAGCCTGTACTTCAGCCTGTTCCCATATTCTCATATGCGGGGACTTCAACATGCCCCACATTGACTGGGAGAATGTCTTCTCTCCTGCTCCCCCCCTGGATGTTTCACACCAGTTTCTGGAAGTGATAAATGATTGCTTCCTCACTCAGCAAGTCACTCGACCCACTCGCTTCCGTTCAGGTGAGACGCCCCACATCCTGGACCTGATCCTCACCAATGAAGATGGGATGGTAAAGCACCTTTACCATGAATCAGGCCTTGGAAGGAGTGACCATGTCATCCTGCGGTTCGATCTGGCATGCTACACATACCAACATGAGTTCCCCTCTGCTCGTCCCAACTACTTCAAAGGAAACCCAGACAAGTACATCAGGCTGGTCCAGGAGTTGGACTGGGAGTCAGCAGATGCACTCGGTATCGACCAAAAGTATGACTTCATTACCAGTAACCTCACCAGGATTGCTCTGGAATGTTTCCCGAAAAGTAAGAGAAAAGGAAGCCGTAAGAACATCTACATAAATGGGCAGGCTCTGCGCCTAAAAAAGAAGAAAGAGAAGCTATGGAAGATATACTCTCACTCCCAGGATGTGTTGGACTACTGCAGGTACACTCAGTGCAGAAATCAACTGCGTGCGCTGACTAGAAGACTGAGACGTGACTTTGAGGAAAAGCTAGCAACGAACATCAAAGCCAATCCAAAGGCTTTCTGGCGGTATTCCAACACAAGGCTGCGGACCAAGACCAAGATCGATGACCTTTCTGATGACTCAGGGCGGACTGTGAGCGATGACACGGGAAAGGCGCAACTCCTGAATGCTTTTTTCAGTAGTATATTCACTGATGAAGATACGACCGAGATCCCGGAACCGACAACCAACTTCTCAGGTCCTCCAATCGAGTCAATCCGCATAACAGCTGAGGCAGTCCGGAACAAGCTTTCCTCTCTCAAAACGGACAGCACTCCCGGTCCCGATGGTTTGCACCCCAAGCTTCTGCAGTTGGCGTCTCAGCCCCTGGCTGGTCCATTGGCTTCCCTGTTTGAAGCTTCCCTCGACCAAGGAGTCCTTCCAGCCTCATGGAAAACAGCGTCAGTCTTTCCCATACACAAGAAGGGTAACAAGCAGACCCCGGGGAATTACCGGCCCATCAGTCTCACATCAATCCCTTGTAAGGTCATGGAGTCCCTGATCCGCGATGAGCTCATGGACTTTCTGTCCCTCACAAACCAGTTTTCCAGACACCAACACGGATTCCGGCCCAGAAGATCATGCAGTTCACAACTTCTGGAGGTATTGGAGGACTGGTGTAAGATGATCGAGGAAGGTGACTCAGTTGATGTGGTGTACCTGGACTTCCGCAAGGCATTCGACGCTGTTCCACACAACCGACTTCTGAGGAAGCTGCGCAGCTACGGTATCTCTGGCAAACTCCTCCGATGGATCGAAGCATTCCTGTCGGGAAGAAACCAGAAAGTCGTTGTCAATGGAAGCCACTCTGATCTGGTTCCTGTCAAGAGTGGAGTTCCTCAGGGTTCGGTTCTTGGTCCCCTCTTGTTCCTGCTGTACGTCAATGACATCCCATCTGCCGTTAACTGTACATCCAAGATGTTCGCCGACGACACAAAGGTCTACAGCGGCGTATCCAGGCAGAACGGCAAAGATGGCCAGGATGTTGCAACTGAGGCCGTGGGGTTGGCTGTCGCTCGTCCCCGAGCTGTCAGTGACCACCCTACTCGACCAGTGCAACCTGTTGGCGGTGGGCAGAACCAGAGCGGCAGACATGCCCAACTCGTGGCAGCTGGGGTTGGGCTTGGAGGGCTGGCTGTCGCTCAACCCAGAGCTGTCAGTGACCACCCTACTCGACCAACGCAGCCTGCCGATGGAGGACTGAACCAGAGTGACAGAGATGACCATCTCGAGGCAGCTGAGGTTGGAGGGCTGGCTGTCGCTCAACCCAGAGCTGTCAGTGACCACCCTACTCAACCAATGCAGCCTGTTGATGGAAGACAGACCGCTACTCGACCTCAAACCTCCCTACTGGCTGATGGAGCAGCGACTACATCGGGAGCGCTAGCCCTCCAAGCTGATATTGATGCACTTGTGGCATGGTCTGACAAATGGCAGCTCCCGTTCAATGAAGAGAAGTGTAAGGTTCTGCATCTGGGTACAAATAATCCCAAACTCCGATACACGATGCGAGGAGTGTGTCTGGAAGAGACTGAATCTGAACGGGACCTTGGCATTCTGGTAGATTCCTCCCTAAAATTCCGGAGGCAAGCATCCGCAGCCGTGGCAAAGGCCAACCAGATCTTAGCAGTGATCAGGCGGTCGTTCGAATTGATTGATGAGTGTACTCTTCCCCTGCTATACAAGACTCTCGTTCGCCCTCACCTGGAGTACGGCAATGTGGCTTGGGGCCCATTCAATCGAGCTGATCAACTTCTAATCGAACGAGTCCAAAGAAGGGCAACCCGCCTGGTAGCCTCTCTCAGACACCGCCGGTACGAGGAACGACTGGAGGCACTGAAACTGCCATCGCTGTTTTATCGGCGACGCCGAGGAGACATGATCCAGGTGTACCAAATCTTTCATGGAGGGGTTGATCTGGCTCCAGAAGAGTTCTTTACTGCCGCTGCATCCGACCGCACCCGAGGCCATCCATGGAAAATCGCAAAACCCAGAGCTGAGTCAAGACCAAGGAGACAGGCTTTCAGTGCCCGGGTGGTCAATGACTGGAACGGCCTGCCCATGTCAGTTGTTGGCGCCGGCTCTGTTGAGCAGTTCAAATCCGAACTCGACGCCCACTGGGCAAACTTCAGGTACCTGGTACCTGACTGGAGATAGTCAAGTCTCAAAGGATTCGAGCTCGATGAGAACGGTTCCCTACAGGCCAAGTGGCCTTTAAAATTCCGATCAAATTAAGGTAAGGTAAGGTAAGGTAAGGTTTTACTCAGCTGGTTAAAAGCATCTGTTATGGCGCATCTGTTTCGAAACCGGTGTTTAGTTATAGTGGGCTGTTTTAGACAGGCTATTCGGTGCCCACATCATAAATGCTTGGAGATTGATAACCTTGTGTCTGTTCCTGCCTGGAAGATTGAAAAATTCAAGAGAAGGCATTATCGTTTTTATACATATATGGTGACTGTTCTCAGGACAAGTGAGTTATTAACACATATTTTTACATGATTCGTATCTTATTCAGCAACCAGCGAGCCATGGCGGATAGGATGCCATGGCGGTTTTTCTCGCTTCCTCAGTTAGGAACATGGCTGAGTCTGTAGATTTTATGGGTAATTTTATGTTGTGACCTATATTTCAAACAATTGGTTGGTGCTGCCACATACCTTACAGACTATCATGACTCACATAGGTATGCTTAGAAATTTCATGTAAATCAATTAATACTTCTGCTGCTGCTTAACAAGTTAAGTTAATTCTTGACGCGAATATTGAATGCTACAATTTTATCCGTTCTGATCCGTGTTCAACATTCAATTCCCAAATCCGGCCCGCCCAGATCCGTTCTATTTTTCCAAATTTGGGATCCAATCCAATCCGGTCCACGGATTTATCCGTGGATAACGGATTTATCCGGCCCATGAAGAGCTCTACTGGACAGGTACTATGCTGGTCTAACATTGCACGGACAGACATGAACTGGCCGAGGACGGAGCTCTACAAACAAGCTTGGATCTTTTATAGACCCTCGACCGGGGGTAATCCACTCCCTCAAGGACCTCTATTACTATGGCTTACGTTCTGATAGAATGTTATCCAAGAGGGTGAAACCGGGCCCTTAAAACACCGAGGCGCTGTCTGAAAGGTACCACCATGGCGGCGAACCGTTCGTCCCATTGTCTCACCTGGACCTTGTCTCGTTCGTCGCCTGGGCATCTTCAGAAGTGATAAGGTCGTCACTATCACTAGTTCCTTCCTGACTCACAGCTTGGGCGTAAAATCCCTATTAGACTCGTTATTTGAGAAAATTGCTCTGGCGTGCCGTTGTCGGGCGGATGTTCAAGCAACAGGCTGTTGCGGCGTTGCCGTTCCGCGAAATAACAAAGCGCATAATAATTAGTTAATATTGATTTCGTGGTGGTCGGGCAGTGTACAAGACTGGCTAAATATTCGATAAGTATTAAATAATAAAGCAATTTTCCCATAGAACTTGTTTTCAGGCTGCGCTCCCTAGATATATAATAAACTCTGGCCGCTCGACGCGCCATCTATGCTCCCGTGTACGGACACTCTCCGCGCGGGGCCAGTAGGCACCCGCCCGTCGGTGTGCGTGGGCCGGCCGGTAGACACCCGTCCGTCCGGCGCTAATGTTCCGTGCTGCATCGCGTTGCACAGCACGGTGCCATTATAAGTCAATGGGAGAAAATTGAAATGCGCCTGCTTTGGACAAAAGACATTATAAACACTCCCAAACACCGAATTACAAGTAGTTTATACACACTGAACATGAAAATGGTGTCCGTGACCCTTGTTTATGCCCTGAGGTCATCTTAGGTCACGAATGGTATCTAACAGTTTTTCGCAAATAACTTTTGATAGAAGCATGCTAGAGCGATGAAAACACCTTAGATGTGTTCAGCTCGACGATACGGATCGACTGATATGCAATATGACCTTTTCCGGTCAGGTCATGACCTTGACCTGAGGTCAAATTTCCAAGTTGACCTTTCAAGGTCAACTTATGGTTCATTCGATGCGTCTTGACGAGAGGAACACAATGCCCGTAAAAGTAAGCTCGTACAAGGCTTGGGTCAAAAGTTATTGCAGAAAAACTGTTTCCGAAAAATTCGGCTATTTTTGCAATTTTTGTCCCCTGCAGGCAAAACCGTTGACGTTAGGTCAAATCTGAGGGAATTACTCAGAAAGGGCTTTAATAGGGCTATCGAATGCGCTTTTCCGCGGCGCTGTAGCTCTATTGGTTCTCGAGTTATGCGTTGGCTTCTTGGAAATTTTCGACATTCGACCTGGAAATCGGCGAAATTTTGCCTTCAATGACCTCTGGTGACCTGACCTTTGACCTGACCAAAAAATTGACCGAAGTTAATTCGTCATTATTTTTGACGCTCTTTCGAACGCCGCCTTCCGCGTATCGCTACGTGGCCCAGGAGCCGAGTTACAAGGGGGGGTGTTCAAACACCCCCCCCCCCCCCAGCAGGGCGTGGAAATCCAGGACCCCCAGCCGGGCGCGGGTTAACCCTCGCCGGCACAGGGGGGGGGGGGATGATGCAGCCCCCACTAAGGTTTTTCGCGAATAACTCGCGTAAAAAGCGGCCGATCGCGACAAAACTTTCAGTACCCTCGCATTGATCAATTTTACACTATCCCTGAAAATTTCATGACCCTGACCCCAATGACCTTTGACCTGTGACCTCTTTACCGAGACCATGTTTGGCCGGAATCGCGATTCGGCGTATGTCAGCTCGCATTAGCCGCGCGTTTGCAAGCTTTTCGTGGTTTCAAACGTTCAAACATGTGATTTGATGTTGCTCCCATACATTAGGGTGGGTGCCAAGGTCACCTGAAGGTCAGGTCAGGTCATTGACCTTTGGTGACCTCGGGTGACCTCGGGTCACTTTTTCGAGTTTTACATGTTTCTCGGCTAGTTTTTGGAGCTGAATTCGAATTTAGCAACCATTTGAACATTTACGAAGTAGTTTTGGTGCCTTCGTAACATGTTATGATGCTGTCATAGGCGATTGACACGTACTAGGAATACCCGTCACGACCCCTACCGGTTGACCTGACCTGACCTGACCCGTCCTGGTCTTAATGCTTAAAGACATCATCTATGATCAAAACTAATACGATATTCGTGATCAGCATCCCGGAAAACGCCATAGCAGCCACACTTTACGACTTTCTAACAGGTCCTGATTTTCCCGATTTTTAGGTCATTGACCTGACCTGGAAGGTCACCCGATGACCTAGGACATTAACCCGCGCCCTGGTGGGGTCTGTTTATAACGCGTCCTGGTGGGGGGGGGGCTATTATTTGCCCCCCCCCCCTCGTATCTCCGAAACTACTGGACGGATCCGCAAAATTCAAACGGCGTTCGAAAGGCCTGTCAAATTTGTCGGGGGAAACCAAATTTCATTGACCTCGGTTTCACCGATGACGTCACAGGTCAGGTCAAAGATGAAATGTTTCACCGTTCACGGGTCTTCTAGGGAATGCGCTATAACACCGAGGAAAACGCATTTTGTCGAGAATCAGCGATAGGGCGTCAGTTGCCTAGTAGATATGTTGCTATTAGAGGTCACTGACAATACCAGGTCACGTCACAGGTCAGGTCACCAAGGGTCACAGGTCAGGTCACATGAGCCCAACTTTACTAAGGTTGTGTGATGCATGTTTTATGGCCAATTTTTGATTTCCAACTCAATGGTGTTGGTTATAAGACTATCAGGTACGGCTAAGGTCACTTTCTGGTGAAGTTCAGGTCAAGGTCAGGTCAAGGTCAGGCCAAAAAAGGTCAACTTTGAAAGTTGATAGTTTTGCATAAAATGGGTATTGATTCGATGCAGCTCGTCACGGGGAGTCTAATGGTGGTCTTTGTTTTGCGCTACGGGGTCTAGAATTGCTAAAAATTGAGTTAGAAAATTTGACGTCATCAATTTTGAACAGTTTTTTACGCTATAACTTCGCCAAAAAAAGAGGTATCATTCTCAAATTTTGTATGTGGTTGGAAGGTGGTAAGGACTATCACATATATTCCGGTTTTTGCAAAATTCAAAAAACTTTTTGGATTTTTCGATCATTATATCCAAAAAAATATTTTTTGATTTTTGGGGGGTCAAAATCCAAAAAATTTCAAAAATCAGAGATGGCAGTTTTGTAGCCCTGTCAATTCTACATCTTTTATGTCTTTATCATTTTTATGTAATTGCAAAGCTATAGGCTTTACAGCTCTTCCCGCGAAACCCTTTTTTGGGTCGAAAACGGCAGAACATGACGTCACTCTGACGTCATTTCCGGCCAACCTTCCAAAGCCTTTGGAAAAAATTTTAATCACCATATGTAAAATTGATGTCCGGGAGGGTACTGAAAGTTTGGTGACGATCGGCGCAGCGGTTCTGGAGATATATCGAAAAGTCTGGAGGGGGGGGCAAAAAATAGCCCCCCCGACCAGGTCGCGGGTTAAAATTGGGTATCATCGGCTTCCGCTCGTGACGGGCAACACGCTCGTTTTTTCTGCGAAGCTCTAGCTCGATCAGGGGCCAAACGCGAGGGGGGGTTCGTACCAACCCCCCCCCCCTTGTGCCGTCGAAGGACGCAAAATGACCTGTGCCGGCGAGGGTTAACCCGCGCCCTGGTGAGGTCTGTTTATAACGCGACCTGGTGGGGGGGGGCTATTTTTTGCCCCCCCCCCTCGTATCTCCGAAACCACTGGACGGATCCGCAAAATTCAAACGGCGTTCGAATGGCCTGTCAAATTTGTCTATGGAAACCAAATTTCATTGACCACGGGGTCACCGATGACGTCACAGGTCAGGTCAAAGATGAAATGTTTCACCGTTCACGGGACTTCTAGGGAATGCGCTATAACACCGAGGAAAACGCATTTTGTCGAGAATCAGCGATAGTGCGTCAGTTGCCTAGTAGATATGTTGCTATTAGAGGTCACTGACAATACCAGGTCAGGTCACAGGTCAGGTCACCAAGGGTCACAGGTCAGGTCACATGAGCCCAACTTTACTAAGGTTGTGTGATGCATGTTTTATGGCCAATTTTTCATTTCCAACTCAATAGTGTTGGTTATAAGACTGTCAGGTACGGCTTAGGTCACTTTCTGGTGAAGTTCAGGTCAAGGTCAGGTCAAGGTCAGGCCAAAAAAGGTCGGATTTTAAAGTTGATAGTTTTGCATAAAATGGGTATTGATTCGATGCAGCTCGTCACGGGGAGTCTAATGGTTTCTTTGTTTTGCGCTACGGAGTCTAGATTTGCTAAAAATTGAGTTTGAAAATTTGACGTCATCAATTTTGAACAGTTTTTTCGCTATAACTTTGCCAAAAAAGAGATATCAATCTCAAATTTGGTATGTGGATAGGAGGTAAGGACTATCACATATATTCTGTTTTTTGCGAAATTCAAAAAACTTTTTGGATTTTGTGATTATTATATCCAAAAAAAATACTTTTTGATTTTTGGGGGTCAAAATCCAAAAATTTTAAAAATCCGAGATAGCAGTTTTGTAGCCCTGTTAACCCGCGAGTTGCTGGGGGGGCGTTAAACGCCCCCACTTTTTTCACCGGGCCATAGCATAAAAATGCATGCCTGATAAGACCTTATTAGGCGATTTTTCCATCGATCGAAATCAACCAGCTGCTTGGTGACCGGAACGGCGCAGCTCGTCGGGCGGTGGTCTGACCCGCCGCAGGTCATTCGGCTCCGCCAATCAGCGACCAGGGACGCCGGCCGCCGGGTGCTGGATCTGTCCAGGACCCCTGCGCCCGGCCGCAGTCGCTCCCGATCTTCGTTCGCGAACACCCACCCCCCCCCCCCCCGGCCCACTAATCAGGCGCTGGCGGGCATTCGATTTTTTTTTTACACCTCGTTATCATGTACGCGAAAACTGGGTGTGGTGGTGGTGGCACCGTTTTTTCCCGCTAGAAGTGATGGGACACAACGGTTAGTGGATGTATTCGGCAGGGTTGTGTGTATATGTGAAAGAACGCAATTGGTATTGGTTGTATATAAAATACACTCCCAATCAATCATAAAAATGGCGCGCCGCAGGCGCGCCAAATTTTGGGTACCTGTAGGGAATTGATTGAAGTTTATTGTGACAAAGTTTCAAAAAAATCGGTCGGAAAATTTTTGAGATATCGAGGTTTTAGTGACGTCATGATTTCTGAGTTTTCGACCAAAAACGGCATATGTTCAAAAAATCATATAAAATCACAGAATAGACATACAGACATGCCGTAAACGCCATTAGACTGCCAATACCATGGGCAATCAAATGGCTATCTTCGATTATTGATTATCGTTCCGCATTTTCCATAATATTGAACTGAATCTTGGCAATTTTTCGTGACTACTTCACGACCATTATACATGAATTTCTTAAATTGAACTTTTTGAGCCAAACACGTACACATATAATAAAATGAATGTCACCATCGTGTTCTACACCCCAAATTACCTATAAAACATGTGTCACAGGCTGCGAATATCAGTTTTGATTTTCGGGGATATGTGCCTACCCGGTTGACCTGACCTTGACCCTGACCTATGCTTGACTGACCCCTACATGGAGCTGACACTCTTGTAGGCCTTATAAGATGGATTGTGCACCGTTTTGACAGAGTTTATGGCGAGAGGCGCCCATTGCGAAGTCCTGAAGTCCATGCTACTGAAAGCCCGATTTCAGGTGTTTGACCTGACCTTGACCCGACCTGTGACCTCAAAATTCAACTTTAAAGTACTCATCTGAAGCGTCTCGTCGCGCTCTTTCGTTTGCCGCCTAGTGCGTTTCGCTGCGCCTATTGGTTCTCGAGTTATCGGCTGGGGGCGTTTAACGCCCCCCCCCCCCAGCAAACGGTGGGTGGCGAAATACCCCAGCAACTGCCGGGTTAATTCTACATCTTTTATATCTTATCATTTTTTCTGTATTTGCAAAGCTATAGGCCTGACAGCTCTTCCCGCGAAACCCTTTTTTGGGTCGAAAACGGTAAAACATGACGTCACTCTGACGTCGTCTCCGGCCAACCTATCATAGCCTTTGGAAACATTTTTGGTCACAATGTGTAAAATTGATGTTCGGGAGGGTACTGAAAGTTTGATGACGATCGGCGCAGCGGTTCTGGAGATATAGCGAAAAGTCTGGAGGGGGGACAAAAAATAGCCCCCCCCCCACCAGGTCGCGGGTTAAAAAACTAGCCCCGACCACTCTAGGTAGGTATGTACCCTGTCCACCGACTGCCGTCCTGTGTTCTTATCAAACATCATGGGCTAGATGGCGATAGTAATGACGCTGATACTGAACAGTTTTAGTCATGTACAGTACCGCGAGTCAGTGTCTTATTTGTTACATTATCACCGTGAGGCACGATGCAGTGTTCATTATTGGAATAAATCGTAAAAATAAAAAAATCATTTTTTGAACAAATCGTAACAAATCGTAAAAATAAATGCATAAAAAAATGTTGATCGAAGTAACTAGATGTTGCAACTTTCTTGCTCATGTTGATAAATGGTATGCCATAACATATGGTCTTTTACCTTGTAATGTGAATAGTGATCCAGTTTTCTTTCGATTTGGTCGCCTATCGACCGTCCTCCCAGCGAATGACTTCTGTCTGACCTGCTGTGTTCCAGACTCGCCGCATGGTGACCGCGACGGAGAGATCGAAGACGAGGAGCAGCACTGCGATGAGGAGGAGCAGCCATCAGAGGATGCGCCTCACCCACACCGACAGAGGTGGCCACTGATTGAACAGCAACATCAGCAGCGGTGGAAGGAGCTGGAACTACAACATCAACAGCTATGGCAGGAGCTAGAGGATCCAGGTCACGAAGAAAGAGTGAGGATGGACAAAGATCATGAAGAGGAGCGTCGACATCTGGAGCAGAAACACGGTACGGAATGGCAGAACCTGGACGAACGTCACTATGAGGAGCGCATTGAGCTTCATCAGCAGCACAAAGAGGACACTGGATGCATCGAAATGCCGACTGAGGACCAGTTAAGGCAGCTGGATCTCTCCCACCAGAAACAATGGGAAAAACTCCGGCGGACACTGCGGAAGCAGAGGCTAGAGCTAGAGCTCAGACACCTGAGAGAGTCACGAGAGCTGGAGGAGAGGCTCCCGAGCGTCCGGTCGGGGGAGTTGGATCGGCTGACGGAGGAGTGCAGGAGGGGACGTCAGCAGCTGGGGAAGGAGTTAAAGGAGGAGCTTCAGGAGCAGGAACACGACGATCAGCAGCGTGTCACCAGGAGCCTGCTGGCGCGCCACCAGGAGGAGCGTGAACAGCTCCTTCGGAAGCACGAGGAAGAAACTAGATGCCTGAACATGCGGATCGATCAGCAGCCACGAGCCAGGCTTCTGCGGCGGTTCCTGAAATGGAGCGGACAAAGGAAGCTGAACAAGAGGCACCGAAAACAGTCGAAACAACTTGATCGCTCCCACCAGCAGCAGTGGGGAAATCTCCAGCAGGCATTGCGGCAGCAGTGCCAAGAGCTGGAGGAAAGGCATCAAAACACAGGATCAGAACACGAAGAGAATCGGCTCCCGGAGGAATGGAGCAGAAGACGTCACGAGCTGCAGGAGGAGCTGGAGAAGGAATTAGAGCAGCTGGAGAAGCAGCCTTAGGAGCAGCAGTGCCCCGAGGAAGGTGAGTGACAGGCTCCGATGTCAAATGATTACGAGCGAGCGAGCGCAGCGAGCGAAGCGAGTCTTGTCAATATAAGGGAAAAATCTTAGTATGAGCGGCCCGGCCCGGCCCGGCCCGGCCCGGCCTGTAACGCTTTTGAGAGGCTCATATTTCAGCAACCGCTGGACCGATTGGCCTGCGGTCTTTTTTGCTGGGTAGCCCCATCCCTTCTACCCCGTAATTGACTACTTTTGATCCATCTCAGTATCAAAAGTTACTGGGGCGATTTCGCTGAAACATGGCATACAGCTAGGCACCCACCAGGCAATGCATTCCCATGTGTTGCGGTTAACCCTATTAGTGGCAGGGGGGGGGGGGTTGTTTTTATCCACCCCTCAGGTTTTTCGGGAATATCTCCGAAACCGCTGAAGCTACGATGCTGAAATTTTCTGACTTTTCCTAAAACTAAATTGGGCACATTCCCTGAAAATTTCAAGTTCATAACTTTACCAGGGGCGGCTCCAGAGCACTGGGAATTGGGGGTCTTATTCGTGAAGCGAGTCATTCGGGCGAAGATCACGATGCTGCACCAGTTTTACGAACAGTGAATGAAAGGTATCATGTGATAACATATACAAAGTTATTGTGCATCCTCTTTTGACACGTTTTTGCTATAATAGGCGGATCCAGGCGTCCAAAAAGGGGGGTTATTTTTTACCTCCCAACATAGGTGCCCTGACACCGCCTATGCATGACCAATACAATTTTAGACGTTCTCTCATAATAAAATTGTAACATAACAAGACCGTTGCCACCCTTTTTACAAACAGTACTAACAAAAACCTTATTTACTATACTTTTTGTGTACCCCCAATCTCAATGATCTGTATCCGCTTATGATTTTTGAAAATGCACATTTTTAGGATCCATGTGAATTCCTGGTTCATTCTCTATCGATCGGCAAAAGTTGCGTTAAGATTGGTTCAGAAACCTGGCCGTGATAAACAGTCTAAAATGTATCTGCAATTTGCCCGTTTTTACCCCCTTCTACCCCCTATTGACATTTTTTGATTTTTTTTTTAAGAAATGTAGATCTCGTTGAGCGAAATCGAATGCCGTTTGAATTTTGAAAATCGGCCCGTTAGATCTCGAGATATCAAGGGGGGTCGTAAACAGCCCCCCCTGCCACTAATAAGGGGTAGCCAGGAGCCTGCCACTAATAGGGTTAACCCGCGCCCTGGTGGGGTCTGTTTATAACGCGACCTGGTGGGGGGGGGGGGCTATTTTTTGCCCCCCCCCCTCGTATCTCCGAAACTACTGGACGGATCCGCAAAATTCAAACGGCGTTCGAAAGGCCTGTCAAATTTGTCGAGAGAAACCAAATTTCATTGACCTCGGGGTCACCGATGACGTCACAGGTCAGGTCAAAGATGAAATGTTTCACCGTTCACGGGTCTTCTAGGGAATGCGCTATAACACCGAGGAAAACGTATTTTGTCGAGAATCAGCGGTAGGGCGTCAATTGCCTAGTAGATATATTGCTATTAGAGGTCACTGGCAATACCAGGTCAGGTCACAGGTCAGGTCACCAAGGGTCACAGGTCAGGTCACATGAGCCCAACTTTACTAAGGTTGTGTGATACATGTTTTATGGCCAATTTTTCATTTCCAACTCAATGGTGTTGGTTATAAGACTATCAGGTACGGCTTAGGTCACTTTCTGGTGAAGTTCAGGTCAAGGTCAGGTCAAGGTCAGGCCAAAAAAGGTCAAATTTTAAAGTTGATAGTTTTGCATAAAATGGGTATTGATTCGATGCAGCTCGTCACGAGGAGTCTAATGGTGGTCTTTGTTTTGCGCTACGGGGTCTAGAATTCTTAAAAATGGAGTTTGAAAATTTGACGTCATCAATTTTGAACAGTTTTTTCGCTATAACTTCGCCAAAAAAAGAGGTATCAATCTCAAATTTGGCATGTGGATGGAAGGCGGTAAGGACTATCACATATATTCCGGTTTTTGCGAAATTCATAAAACTTTTTGGATTTTTCGATTATTATAACCAAAAAATCTATTTTTTGATTTTTGGGGGTCAAAATCCAAAAATTTCAAAAATCCGAGATAGCAGTTTTGTAGCCCTGTTCATTTTACAGCTTTTATGTCTTTATCATTTTTCTGTATTTGCAAAGCTATAGGCCTGACAGCTCTTCCCGCGAAACCCTTTTTTGGGTCGAAAACGGCAGAACATGACGTCACTGTGACGTCATTTCCGGCCAACCTATCATAGCCTTTGGAAACATTTTTGGTCACAATGTGTAAAATTGATGTCCGGGAGGGTACTGAAAGTTTGGTGACGATCGGCGCAGCGGTTCTGGAGATATATTGAAAAGTCTGGAGGGGGGGCAAAAAATAGCCCCCCCCACCAGGGCGCGGGTTAAGGTGCTACTGCACGTGCGCACGTGCAGGGGGCGTTTCCAGATCTCGAGAACGGCTGGGCTGATTGCGCTCAGATTTGGTACACGGTTGGGGACCAGTTAGTAGAGTGCCGTGCATAAGTCAGTTTGGACTCCGTTTGCACGTGCGCACGTGCAGAATGCCGCTTCCAGATCTCAGGAACGGCTGGGCCGATTGCGTTCAAATTTGGTTCACCGCTAGCGACCGGTTAGAAGGGTACTTTGCGCAAGCCCGTTGGAAGTACCCTCTCGCCCTTCCGCACGTGCAGCCTGCAGGGCTCACTATCTCGCTCGCTCGTTCTTCGCCCAAAAGGCGTTTTACTGGTTTACGAATGTTACGGCCAAGGATGACAGAAAACGAGTGATTTCAGGTCAGATCAATTTTGCGAACTCCCCGTTAGATGTAAATGGCACATTCGAAATGGACCTCTCTTGAACGAAAGTCGTATTAACCCGCGCCCTGCTGGGGGGGTGTTTGAACACCCCCCTTGTGGTTTTTCGCGAATATCTCAAAAACGGCGGCGCGGAGCGCCGCCGTTTTTGGTATACCTTATCATACATCAATTCTACACATGTTGTAAAAATTTCAGACCAAGGTCATTCAAGGTCAGGTCACCAGGTCACTTGAAGTGACCTCACGTCATAAAAAGTTTCAATGTCTGTCATAGCTACACCGAGTGACCGATCGCTTTGAAACTTTCAGCGATTGATAAGAGTAACAGTATCTATAAAATGTATATCTCGGAATTGGGATATCGGTGACCTAAGGTCAGGTCAATTTTGCGACCTCCCCATTATAAGTCAATGGGAGAAAATTGAAATGCGCCTCTTTTGGACGAAAGACATTATAAACACTCCTAAACACTGAATTACAAGTGGTTTAGACACACTGAACATGAAAATGGTGTCCGTGACCCTTGTTTATGCCCTGAGGTCATCTTAGGTCACGAATTGTATCTAACAGTTTTTCGCAAATAACTTTTGATAGAGGCATGCTAGAGCGATGAAAACGCCTTAGATGTGTTCAGCTCGACGATACGGATCGACTGATATGCAACATGACCCTTTCCGGTCAGGTCATGACCTTGACCTGAGGTCAAATTTTCAAGTTGACCTTTCAAGGTCAAATTATAGTTCATTCGATGCGTCTTGACGAGAGGAACACGATGCCGGTAAAAGTAAGCTCGTACAAGGCTTGGGTCAAAAGTTATTGCCGAAAAACTGTTTCCGAAAAAATCGGCTATTTTTGCAGTTTTTGCCCCCTGCAGGCAAAACCGTTGACGTTAGGTCAGATCTGAGAGAATTACTCAGAAAGGGCGTTAATAGGGCTATCGAATGCGCTTTTCCGCGGCGCTGTGGCTCTATTGGTTCCCGAGTTATGCGTTGTCTTCTTGGAAATTTTCGATATTCGACCTGGAAATCGGCGAAATTTTGCCTTCAATGACCTCTGGTAACCTGACCTTTGACCTGACCAAAAAATTGACCGAAGTGATTTCGTCATTTTTTTTGACGCTCTTTCGAACGCCGCCTTCTGCGTATCGCTACGTGGCCCAGGAGCCGAGTTACAAGGGGGGGGGTGTTCAAACACCCCCCCCCCCCAGCAGGGCGTGGAAATCCAGGACCCCCAGCCGGGCGCGGGTTAAACAAATAAGGTATACTGCCAATAATGGAGCACACTAAATTTCGATTTACATAATTAGGTATCTTCTATTTTCCCTATTACTTTCCCAAATATTTTCGATTTACACACTTAACCCGGCACCGCCTGGGCTATTTCCGTACCCACGACAGCCTGGGGGGGGGGGGGGTCGGATCCGACCCCCCCCCCTGTTATCTCGAGAACCAATGGTCGTATCGAGCCCCGCGAGGCGGCGTTCGAAAGGTCTCTACGAGATCTTCCCAAAGCACTCTTAAGATTTTAAGATTGAGGTCAACTTTCGGGTCAAGGTCAGGTCAAAGGTCAAATTCAGGGGTTTTGCATGATTAGGCTTACGGACAGCGGAATCGATAGCTGCTGCTCGAAACTCACCAAAAATGACCTCAAAGGCCTAGTGAAGGTACCATGTGCGTATAGGGGTCATACTAAGTACGGGTCAAGGTCAGGTCAGGTCACGAAAGGTCACGGTTTTCAATTTCTGCTACATGGGCGTGCGACACATGTTTTATGGCTTATTTTTCATGCCGAATCCGATGGTAATGGTTATATGTGACCCCAAGTCACTGTGCTGGTGATAAGTGTGCATTGAAAGCATAAAAAATCGTTTATACCCTACATAACTAAAGGAGGGCTAAGAAAAAAAGTCAATTTTTAAACTTTTTATTTTTGACATAAAAATACACTTTTCTAGACGAGCTTTGTCCCAGGAATCTAGTGGTGCCATTTGTTTTCACATGCGATGTTCAGAACTGCCTCTAATTCACGAAAATGCTTATGTCGTCACCATGCCCTATGCATGTTGGAGCTATTTTTTACAATTTGGGGGTCAAAAATCAAGATAGAAAGTTGAAATTTGGGGCATCTAATGTTCTAATAGAGCTCTACAACATATATTCCGGTTTTTTGGAAATTCCTAAAATTTTGGATTTTATTAGCTGTTTTCCAAAAAATGTAGTTTTTTGAATTTTTAGGGGTGAAAAACGCATTTTATAGAAAATCCGAGATAGCCATTTTAAAGAACTCGTTGAGCTGCGTCTTTTCATGTCCCTAATTTGCAATTTGCTTGAAACCCTGATTTTTGGCGATTTTTTAAACATTTACCACTTTTTGACTAAAAACGCCATGTAGTTACATCACTAAAATCGATATATCTCAAAAAATTTTGAAAATTTTTTCTTAAAAATTGCACAGGAGACTTCAAATTGATGGGGAAGAAGGTATGCCAAGTTTCAAGTAGATAGCGAAAGTGGTTCATGAGTTATTCAAGAAAAACGGAGGGGGGGTCGGATCCGACCACCCCCCCCCCCCCCCCAGGCGGTCGCGGGTTAATAAATTCATAATATGAAGGTATTTGTTGTAAAGGAGAGTTGGTGCATTTTTGGTCAAGTTGTGTGCATTTGTCAGATAACCCGCAGTGAAAATGACTATTATCTCCATGTTCCAGAATCCAATGAGCAGCAGCAGCAGAAGCAGCGGGATCGAAAAGTCAACCGGACGCCCTACGAGAGGCTAATCTAGCCTCGAAGCATGCCAACCCGGCCGGTCAGGTCACGCCAGGTCAGTTCATTCGGCCACGTTTAGCCCGCGTCCCGCTGGGCCAGTCGCACATCCTACCATCCGTTTGGAGAGGAGGAGGGGGGGGGGGCGTTTCGGCCCCCAATATCTCGAAAAACGACCGATTTTAAAGATTCAAACAACGTTCAATAGCGGCACCGCGAAAATACCATGGATCCCAATTTTATTGACCTAGGTGCAACCGATGACGTCAGGGGTCAGGTCAAAGGTCGTATTTTTTCGCCGTTTATGGGCTTTCTAAGGAATGCGTTAGGTGTAGCATCGAGTAAAAAGTATTACATCGGAAACATGTGGTGTTTCAGATCACCACAGACGTCACCATCACCAGCAGTGACAGCACCACCGGCACCACCGGCAGCCGTGAGTACACCAACGGCAGCCGGGTCCAGCTTCACGGCTTCCAAAACCACTATCAAGTGAACTGCCATTGACTTAGAGTTACCGGAAATGATAACACAGCTACTATAAGACAATGTATGATGTTATTGTTATTATTTGTCTGCTAACTCAAAATAATTGTGATTGTAATTCTGCTTATTTAGCGCTGTATCTAAACTATGAACATCAAAGACGACATTAATAACTAGCGCCTTCTATTTCAGATCCGCCATCACCACCGTCCCCAGCATGACCATGACCATCACCATCACCATCACCATCACCACCGGCTCCGGGATCAAACCCGTCACCAGCATGTCCGTAAGTGTCGAATCATAAAATGACAATGAACATGTAATACTCAAAAGTCTGTTTTCCAATCGACCTAATTTTGACCAAATTCCTCTGTTCGTCTTACTGCTTGTTCTTACTGTGCATAACACGCTGATCTAAAAACGTACTGACTGCTTTCAGATCATCTACCAGCACCACCACCAGCACCATCTACCAGCACCACCACCAGCACCACCGGCTCCGAAACCAGGCCCGCCACCAGCCTCCGTGAGTACAGACGCGATAACGGCGGCCACTGTTGCCTCTTGCTTGTCTCTGGGAAACTCAAACATTTGGCGATGCTGAATGATGCAGAAACTATAAACAAACTAAAAATGAAAATAAGAATAAAGGCAGTGAAATATTTGATTTTTTCATTGTCTTCGTCAAGTACATTTATATTTATTCGGTCTACCAAACTGTCAGTTCCGACTCTTCTTTGATCTTACCAATAAATAGTCCTTTACTTGGCATGAAAAACACCATGCACGTATTCTTTTTTCAGTTATATATTTCGCGGTCTTGCTATATGTTATCGATACTTTTTTTATTGAATGTACTTGTCCGAACATTTTTGTTTATTTTGCCGTAGACATTGCTACCACTCTGTCTGTATGATAAGGTGATCGTTTCGTCTGTCATATAGAATGATTTAATCGTTCATATTATTTCAGGTCCGCCATCACCACCATCACCACCTTCACCAGCACCATCACCATCACCGCCACCAGCACCACCGGCTCCGGGATCAAGCCCGCCACCAGCGTCCGTGAGTGTCTTATCATTGAATGCATCCTGAAACGTAAAATTTGTTCTTTCCGCAATGTTACATAGGATTTGTGGTCCATATTTTTTTTTTTATAATCAGATCGATAGGAATAACAAATAGTAATATTGATATCATAATACAACAATAATAACGGATTCCGTCAGGATTTTTCTGACCGTATAGGGCTGGTTGAGAGCTGAATCCACTGTATTTTATAGGAGTTCTATCGGTTTGTGGTCAATTTGTATTATCTCCCTTTCAGGTCATCTACCATCACCACCACCAGCACCACCGGCCTCAGCACCAAGCCCGCCACCAGCCTCCGTGAGTATCTTATCCCGCGCCCCAGTGGCGGTCTCAGCCAACTTCGCTCTAGTGGGGGGGGGGGGGCATATGTTACCACCCACCTCTAACTCAAAAACTAAGAGGGCTAGAAAGACGCGGTAAAGAGCAGTCGATAGCTCTCAATCCGTACGTTTGAAAGAATTTCAGTCATTTTTCATCTTAGAGCAATATTGGGGTCACCAGAGGTCATCAAAGGTCAAAATTTGCCAATAGTCATTATATTTTTCAGAAAACGTGCCGGTATCTAAGGAACTATGGTAGCAAGAAAAGCGCACGGAAAAGCAATCGATAGCTTTTCAACTCTTCTTTTGATAAGGTTATTATCAAAATTGACCTAAGGTCAACGGTTTAGCCTCCAGAGGGCAAAAACTCCAAAAATAGCTGTTTTTACGAAAAGCGTTTTTTCGAAAATAACATTCGACTGCAAAAAGCTACGACATTTTTATTGCCAGAATCGTGTTCCTCTCGCCGAGACGCGTCGAATGAACTATAATTTGACTTGAAAGGTCAACTTGAAAATTTGACCTCAGGTCAAGGTCATGACCTGACCGGAAAAGGTCATGTTGCATATCAGTCGATGCGTCTCAACAAGACAAACACAATGAGACCTCCCCAGCGTTCTATCTCTTTCCAATCTCGAGTTATTGGCAAAAAACTGTTTGTAGCCTCAAATGACCTCAGATGACCTTTATAGAGGCTATCAGCAAAAATGACACCTTGGTCATCACGGGTGGTCCAAATCGTTGTCATTCTGAAATATTTGGACTGTTCCTATGCGTACACACGGATCTAGAGGCATTTTCATTTTCCCCATTGACTTGTAATGGAAAGGTCACGCCACTGACCTGACCTTAGGTCACGGATATAAAAAATCGGAGATATACAAATTGTAGGCCCCCAAAACAGCATGCAATTCACCAAGTTTGAAACTTTTCTGACAAACACTGCAGGCTGGACATGATTGCAAACTTTTTTTTAGGCTTGGTCAGTTAACTTGACCTGGTGACCTGACCTGACATGACCTGGGGTAAAAAATTTCACACATTGTCCAAAATTGATGTACCAAAAGCTACCCCAAGCGGCGCGGCGCTACGCGCCGCGGTTTTTTATTCACACGCAAAAAACGCGACAGGGTGGTAACATATGCCCCCCCCCCCCCACTGGGGCGAAGGTTAAACAAGTGACCATAAAAGCTATATTTTTTATTTTAGTCGTAATTTCGAGACACACTGATATTTTATTTTTCATCACCAAATTTATATCGATAGGCTATATATTTTATTGTTAAAAATATTACATCAGGAATGCAGTGCTAATGAGCGAATGATGTGTTAATAATAAAAGTGGCGCAATAATTTTCTTACAGTGAATAACAAGTGGAACTCAACATGTGCTACTTCTTTTTCAGGTCATCTACCATCACCACCACCAGCACCACCGGCTCCGGAACCAAGCCCGCCACCATACTCCGTGAGTACAGACGGGATATCGGCGGGAACACTGTCTTCTCCTGTACGCACGACTCAGTAGTTTGAAATTCAGCCAACAGATGACTCTATTATATAGCGCCTGATACATGCTGTACCGCTCGACTCAGTAGTTATTTATCTCGACAGCAGTTGGCTCTGGCATAAGGCGCCTGAAGCATGCTGTACCGCACGACTCAGTAGTTTCAGTGTTAGCCAACAGATGGCTAACACTGAACAGATGGCTTTCCGAAACAAAGTTACACGATACAATCCATCCTAGTTTGTACAAACTACAAAATTACCACGAGCCTTACATAAAAAATCGTTCCAGACACGGGGGTGGCGTTGCTGTTTTCTTTAATTTGTCACTTGCCGCTAAACGACTACCAGAACTTGAACTCGGAAACACTGAATGGATTTGGACAATGGTGAAAATAAAAAGCGAGACTATCATAACATGTTGTGCATACATTCCTCCAAACTCGCCACATGAAAAATTAAACGACTTTTTAGATTCACTCGCTGAAAGTGTAGCGCTTGCTCAGTCCCTCAACCCAACGCTTATCATTTTAGCAGGAGACTTTAATGCGGGCAATAATTTCTTAAATGCAAACTACCAAAACCACGGCGGTATTACATCATTTGACAAGCAACTCCATGACATTACATCCTCCCTAAATCTAATACAGCTTATTGACCAGCCAACAAGGCCAAATCCTAATACTGCCAATCTCAGAGACCTGATATTCGTGTCAGATATGGATTTAGTGACGGACAAAGGCGTTGAATCACCTTTTTCACAAATTGACCATTACCCAGTGTACGTGACTATTAATATTGCTAGGCCGACAACGAAGACACGCTCCAAGACAATCCGAGATTACGACCGACTAGACGCAGACAAACTCACAACCGAACTCATGCAAACTGACTGGGACGCTATTATCAATCAAAACATTGACAAAGCAACGGTCGACTTTACAAACGCCATCTTACGTGCAGCGGACAATGCGATACCGACCAGAACAATACATGTCAAACCGAACAACAAACCATGGTACACCAATGAACTAAAACGTGAGACAAGACGACGGGACAGACTTTTTAAGACAGCGCTCAGACTACAGACAGAGGACAGTTGGACTCGTTGGAGACGTCAGAGAAACTTAGCGACAGAACTAAACAAACATCTCAAAGAGCAATACAGAATAAGTCAAGTTCAACAGCTTTTATCCGCAAAGACCAATCCAAGCAAATATCATAACATCTTACGACGAATGACAGGAAAACTCAAAACTCATTCTCTGCCTCCACTCATCGGACCAGACGGACAAACAACGACAGACGACTATGACAAAGCCAATATGCTCAACGATCATTTCGCAAATCAGTCAAGACTTCACGTAGGAGACAGAAACATACCTGAAACTGCGCCGCGAAATCTAACAATTCCGCTTTTAGAAAATATCATCATCACTGAGCGAGAGGTACTCAAACTTCTTAACTCCCTTGACACAAATAAAGCATGCGGTCCAGATAACTTACCGCCGAAGATTTTAAAGTTAGTAGCACTCCTGATAGCAGCACCCTTGACAAAACTTTTTAACCTATCTATAAATCAGGGGAAATTTCCATCAGTTTGGAAAGAAGCGAAGGTCCACGCTATTTTTAAAAGAAAGGGATCAGCATCAGATCCGTCAAATTACCGTCCCATCAGCCTCTTACCCTGCATCTCCAAAATTTTTGAGAAAATTGTGTTTAACCGTATTTATAGTCACATTTCAGAAAACAACCTTCTGACCGACAAACAGAGCGGCTATAGACCAAACCATAATACACATCTGCAACTCTTTTACCTAGCCCACAATTTATATAAAGCTCTTGACTTGGGAAAAGATTTCACTGCAATTTTTCTGGACATAAGTAAGTATTTTGACAAGATTTGGCACGAAGGCCTTTTATACAAATGTAACACTTTTTTCGGAATTTCTGGACACCTTCACAGCTGGCTGAAATCTTACCTAACTGACAGAAGCATCCAAGTATGTGTCGATGGGACTATGTCAAAACCACAATTTATCAACGCTGGATGCCCACAGGGCAGCGTTTTGGGACCTTTGCTTGCTCTTATCTACTTAAACGATCTCGCTGACATGACTCATAACGAATCATTATTTTACGCAGACGACACCTCATTATATGCTTCATACTCAAGGCAACCCGACCTACCCATCTCACCTCAGGGACAAGCAACAAATGATTCTTTTAGCGAAGTATGCAAGTCGTTACAAGAAGATCTTGACATTATTTCTAATTTTGGTACAGAGTGGCTCATCACTTTTAGTCCAGCGAAAACCACACAAGTAACGTTTTCTCATGCAAAACCATTACATCCACCCATGCTGTCTTTTAACAACATTCCCATACCACATTCGAACAGTCATTCACACCTTGGTCTTACACTGTCAACCGATTTGCGATTCAAAGACCACATTAACAACATTGTCAAAAAAGTAAATATCGCACTAAGCCCTCTGTACCCAATTGCTAAATACCTGCCTCGCGAGATCCTCACGCAAATATACACGACATACATACTACCGATTTTCGACTATGGTGACGTTGTGTACGACGGACTGATAACGGTGAACGATAGACTCAGACTAGAACGACTACAAATGAGAGCAGCACGGTTGGCGACTGGAGCATTGTTTCAAACATCTCACAAGAAACTGTTAGCAGACTTAGGCTGGGATTCATTAGAAACGAGACGTTTTAAACACAGACTTATTTTTTACCACAAGCTGATCCACCCTGGCAACAACATTCCACAATACATAAGAGACATTTTACCACAAACGAGACACCAGAATATCGGTCGCGACCTTCGCAATGCAATGGACCTGACAACTTTCAGCAGCAGAACATCACTTTTTAAACAATCTTTTATACCCAAGACCACCAAAGACTGGAACACGCTACCTGAACCCATAAGAACTAATCCTTCCTTCACGTCCTTTCGGAGAGTCATAGCTTCTCGATTCGGTGCAGAGGTCGCCCCACTATTTAACAGCGTCGGATCCAAGACTGGCAATATCTTACATACCCGATTGAGACTGAATACAACACTGAGAGATAATCTTTTCAAAATTCAAAAAGTATCATCTCCCAGCTGCGAGTGTGGAAGCCCAAGAGAGACTGTAGCACATTTCGTTCTAAATTGTCCCTTATTTGACGTGCTACGCTCGGAACTCTTTAATCAAGTCACTCGAATAACGGAAAAATTTAGCCGTATTAGCAACGCCAATAAGCTCAGCATACTTCTCTATGGTGATGGACTAAACAAAAACGAGGGTATTAAAGTAGCCAAATTATTCCAAAATTTCCTTACCAAAACCAGAAGATTCTACTAACACGAGCATTTTCAGCGGCGGAGGGCGGGCTGCATGGTTCGTGGTTTGCCGACTGGGGGCAGTCAGCGTAACTACCGAGTGGCGGGTGTGGCGCGACGCGGCGGTGGTTTGATTGCTTTTAATGTTTTTGTTTGTTCTGTTCTTTCATTGTTCACGTTACGTTACAGTTTCTCAGAGAGGTGCTTTAATTTAAGAATTTTATTCTTTTGCACCGATCTAATTTATATATTTGTTCTTGTCTGTTTTGTTCGGAATGTCAAAATATATGTCTATGTCTATGTCTATGTCTATGTCTATGGCTCCGGCATACAGCGCCTGAGGCATGCTGTACCGCACGACTCAGTAGTTTCAGTGTTAGCCAACAGATGGCTCTGGAATACAGCGCCTGAAGCATGCTGTACCGATTGACTCAGTCAGTGTTAGCCAACAGATGGCTCTGGCATACAGCGCCTGAAGCATGCTGTACCGCACGACTCAGTAGTTTGATATTTAGCCAACAGATGGCTCTGGCACACAGCGCCTGAAGATTGCTGCGCCGCAGGTCTCAGTACATACATAGGGTAGCCCACCACCAGCCTCTGAGAGCTCGGACACGATGTCATTGGCACACTGTCGCCCGTGGCTAGTTTCTAGCAAAGGAACGCTTGACGTTGATAATTGATACATAGACGAAACAAATGGAATAATTTGATCCGTCATTGTCTTGGATACACTTTTTAAGATTCGATATACTTAACCCTCGCCCGCACATGGGGGGGGGGGTGGTTGCCACCCCCCCCCCCCCCCCAGGCAGTCTTTCTGCTCTGCACTCAACATTTTTAGAGCTAGAAGGCTGATTTTTCGTATAGCTGCTCGTCTATCCTTTCTTGATGTCCACTGAAAATTTCAAGTTTCTGTGATTTTTGGTTTCGGAGATATGACCTTGTTTTTCAGGTCATGTCATGACCCAAATGGCCAATTCTCAACATCTTGCGTTTGCCATGGGCCTTGTGAGCTTTTGACACCCTGATTTCGGCCTTTTTTGCCAGTCTTACCTCCCACCTATCATGGAACATGCTGTTCGACGATGTACAGGGGTCAAGGTCAGGGTCAAGGTCAACCTAGGTCATCTAAGATAATTGCGTTTTAGGCAAGCTGAATTTACTTTTTGTGAAGTTTTTTGACTGCATTTTTGGTAAAAGCTTCTCAGATCATGATTTCATGTGATATGGACCCAAAAACAATCGGTGCACACATCAGTATACACACAGACACACACAGACATACATACACATATAATTGACCTTGACCTAACTTGACCTGAAATGACCTCAGCAGCAAAATTCTGGTCGGATAGTGTGACAAAGAGGTTCTAGCTGGCTTGGCACCAGAAAACAGCATCGTCATCGGTATTTGATAAGCAGCTCACTTGATATCCAACGGTGACCCAAAACAGCAACATTTTTTAGTTTGACCTGACCTGGAAGGTCAATGACTGACCTGAGAAGGTAAAACTGGGTATCATTGGATTCGTCTCTTCCCAAAGAATCTTTTTGGTCTTTACTGCTAAGCTCTATCTCCAACAGGAACGAAATGGCGCGGGGGGGGTGGCAACCACCCCCCCCCATGTGCGTTCTAGGATGGGAAAATGGCATGTGCGGGCGAGGGTTAACTGTAAATTGCGACTCTTCTTTGCTGTTTCTAATAGTCCTCTATCTGTGTGAAAAACAGCATGAACCTGTGTTTTCAGTTACAAATTTAACGGTTTTGTTATATTGTGTCAAAACTGTTTGTATTGCATATAAGTGTCACAGCTATTTTGTTCATTTTGCCGTAGACATTGCTACCGCTCTGTCTGTATGATAAGGTGATCATGTCAAATACAATAAATAAATCGCTTGTATTTTTTTCAGGTCCGCCATCACCACCGTCCCCAGCATCACCATCACCAGCATCAGCACCTCCACCAGCACCATCGGCTCCGGGATCAAGCCCGCCACCAGCCTCCGTGAGTGTCTGATTTTTTATTGAAACCTGAAAACGTAAAACTTATTCTTCTCGCTATGTTACATAGATTTTTTTTCGGTAATTTCTTCTTATTAATCAGATCAATAGGAAGAATAATATGTATAATAAAATAAAACGCTTTAATAATAAAATATAATAATAAAACGCTGACAACGGATTCCGTCAGGATTTTGCTGACCGTTGGACTGGTTGAGAGGTGAATTCACTGTATTTTACAACAGTTTCATCGGTTTACGGTCAATTTGTATTTTTTCGCTTATAGATCATTAACCAGCACCACCACCAGCACCACCGGCCTCAGCACCAAGCCCGTCACCAGCGTCCGTAAGTGTCTTATCACAAATTGACTTTAAAATTGGAGGTATTTGATTTTGGTCGTAAGTTCGACTTTCGAGGCACATTTTTAGTTTGTTTTCCATCACCAATTCTATTACGATAGGCTATACATTGTATTGTTACAAATATTCCATCAGGAATACTAATGATCGTAAAACCTGTTAACCCTCGCCCTGGCAGGGGGGGGGGTCGATGCGACCCCCCCTAAGGTTTTTCGAAGATAGCGTAAAAACGGCGGCGCGCAGCGCCGCCAAATTTGGCACAGCCTATGGGGCAACCTTTTTACATATGACCTGAAAATTTCAGGTCCGGGTGACCTTGGGTCAGGTCACCAGGTCAGAAAAACCGGTACAAGGTCACGGTCAAATTTCAATTTTCTTTTTGCACCTGTCCAACTCACAGTTTTCGACTGATTTCCTTCAAACTTCCAGGATGTGCCAAGTTCACCGAGTTGTATAACATATAGTCCGGCTTTTTTGAGGTCACTGACCTGAGGTCAGTTAGAGGTCACTACGTCGTAACGTTAAGCCTATGGGAAAATACTAAATTCGGAAAATACTGGAGATATCCGCTTCGTTCTATCACTTTTGTGCTTTGCAACCACGGTACTTAACAGCAGGTCACTTGGTGCTTCTTTGTTTGGTGTACTTATCCATGGGTCAGGTCAAATGAGGTCAAATGAGGTCAAATGACGTTTTTGCCAATAACTTGGCACATAATGACGCTAGAGCTTAAAAAATGGTATCATTGTGTTTCTGGTGATCAGCCAAATCGAATGATATGCGATATGATGCAATTTGGTTAGGTTGAACTTAATTTATTAATTTAAGTTTACTTAAAATTTAAGAAAAACTTTAGGTACACTTAAGCATGCTAAAAAGTATATCATTCGACGCGCCTTGACGTGCTGAGTTCACTGGTGCTTTTCTTTTCGCTCTATCTTAATTAGATCAAAAGTTATAAGCGAAAAACTTTTGACCTGTTTTTAGCGAAATTTTTACATTTATACCCCCCAAAACCCCCCTAAATGTTGACCTAGAGCAACCAAATTTGCACAGGGGCGAGAACTCCAGGGGGCCCACCTACCTACCAAATTTGGTGTTTCTAGGTGCCATAGGAGCCAATCGCGAGGGGGGGGTCGCATCGACCCCCCCCCCCGCCAGGCCGTGTTATGAAAAATGCCCTGCCAGGGCGAGGGTTAAGAAAAGAAGTGAAGCAATATTTTCTTACAATGAAGAGCAACTCAACATGTGCTGATTCTTTTCCAGACCATCTACCCAGCACCACCACCAGCACCACCGGCCTCAGCACCAAGCCCGCCACCAGCCTCCGTGAGTACAGACGGGATATCGGCGGGCACGCTGTCGCCCGCTGTACTCGTCTATAGGAAATAAAATATTTGGTAATTGTAATGAATGTTGACAGAATACAAGTTTTATCTTAGATTATTTTCTTTTCAACTATAAGACGATCAGTTCTGACTTTTCATTTTGTTATGAATGGTTGTGTTTTTGCGTCAAATAACCACAATTATCATTTTTTGTTGTTTTTTTTTCTTACAGTATTTTTATTACAATATAAGAAGAAATTGGTACGATATAGGTACCTAGGCCTACGTATGTAACGTCAAACCAATTTCAGTACTATCTGTTGTGTGATTAGTCGTTTTATTGTATCTGTATTATATTCGTTGCTAATTGGTCCTTACGTAGTTACCTAATAGTTGAAACGTTGGTATTATTTCAGGCCCGCCACCATCACCAGCACCACCACCAGCACCACCGGCTCCGGGATCAAGTCCTCCACCAGCCTCCGTGAGTGGCTGATCTTTGATTGAAACTGAAAACGAAAAACTTTTTTCCTATGCTGCGCATGATATTTTGTCAGTAATTTCTGATTCCTAATCAATGCAATGGAAGAACTGCAGTACTATCCTCACGCAAATATTGATAACGAACTCCGTCATGAATTTTTTCTGACCATTAGACTGGTTCAGAGGTGAACCAATTGAATTTCTGAACAGTTGCATCTATTTGCGGTCAATTTGTATTTCTTTCCTTTCAGACCATCCACCACCAGCACCACCAGCACCACCGGCCTCAGCACCAAGTCCACCACCAGCAGGTAGGTGCGGCTCCAGAAATACTCCCCTTTTCCAAAAAAAAAGAAATACTTTGCCATGTGTTGTGTATTGGCGCACCGCACTCCACCAGTCCACAGCACACACACTGACCCTCCGTCCGCCCGGCCGGCGCCCCCAGGCGCCGCAGGCGATCCCGGTCAGCTCACCACAGTCGGTCACCGATACGGGCCGGTACAGACCTTTGTTTTGTTTCCATTTGTATGTTTCAACTAACATTAAAATATCGATTGCGTGTTTGTTTGTTTGTTTGTTTGTTTGTTTGTTTGTTTGTTTGCGTGTTTGTTTTTTATAGCAGGCTGAGGCTCGTTACGACGAAACAAACACATCCTCATAAATGTTTGGCTGTTACGTCAAAACTGAGGTCATTTATCTCCAGACTGATAACCCGCGACCGCCTGGGGCAGGGGTCGGATCCGACCCCCCCCCCCCCCTCCGTTTTTCTTGAATAACTCATGAACCGCTTGAGCTATCAACTTGAAACTTTGCATACCTTCTCCCCCATCAAGTTGACGTCTCCTGTGCAATTTGTAAGAAAACATTTACAAAATTTTTTGAGATATATCGATTTTAGTGACGTAACTACATGGCGTTTTTAGTCAAAAAGTGGTAAATGTTAAAAAAACGCCAAAAATCAGGGTTTAATCAGGGTTCTAAGCAAATTGCAAATTAAGGTGATGAATAGATGCAGCTCAACGAGTTCTTTAACATGGCTAGCTCGGATTTTCCATAAAATGCGTTTTTCACCCCTAAAAATTCAAAAAAACTATATTTTTTGGAAAACAGCTAATAAAATCCAAAATTTTGAGAATTTCCAAAAAACCGGAATATATGTTATAGAGCTCAATTAGAACATTAGATGTCCAAAATTTCAACTTTCTATCTTGATTTTTGACCCCCAAATTGTAAAAAATAGCTCCAACATGCATAGGGCATGGTGACGTCATAACCCTTTTTTGGTGAATTAGAGGCACTTCTGAACATCGCATGTGAAAACAAATGGCACCACTAGATTCCTGGGACAAAGCTTGTCTAGAAAAAGTGCATTTTTATGTCAAAAATAAAAAGTTGAAAAACTGACCTTTTTCTTAGCCCTCGTTTAGTTATATATAGTATAAACGATTTTTTATGCTTTCAATGCACACTTATCACCAGCACAGTGACTTGTGGTCACATACAACCATTACCATCGGATTCGGCGTGAAAAATAAGCCATAAAACATGTGTCGCACGCCCATGTAGCAGAAAGTGAAAACCGTGACCTTTCGTGACCTGACCTGACCTTGACCCGTACTTAGTATGACCCCTATACGCACATGGTACCTTCACTAGGTCTTTGAGGTAATTTTTGGTGAGTTTCGAGCAGCAGCTGTCGATTCCACTGTCCGTAAGCCTAATCATGCAAAACCCCAGAATTTGACCTTTGACCTGATTTTGACCCGAAAGTTGACCTCAATCTTAAAATCTTAAGAGTGCTTTGGGAAGGTCTCGTAGAGACCTTTCGAACGCCGCCTCGCGGGGCTCGATGCGACCATTGGTTCTCGAGATAACAGGGGGGGTCGGATCCGACGCCCCCCCCCCCCCGGCTGTCGTGGGTACGGAAATAGCCCAGGCGGTGCCGGGTTAAGTTTTCTACAGAACCTAAGCAAAGTAAATGAAAATATGATCAAATATTGATGAGAATTACCATCTATTTTAGGTCCACCATCACCATCAGCCATCACCAGCACCAGCACCAGCACGACCGGCTCCGGAATCACCACCACCAGCCTCCGTGAGTGTTTTAGTATTGTATTGAGAGTGGACAGACACGCATGAATTGTGTATGTGTTATCAATACATTGATAAATGATTTGATAGTAATCTCAAACAGCTTTGTGTATGCTTAGTATTAGTTTATTTCTACCTTCATCTCATAAATATTGTGAGGAGTCTTGCAAGCGATATACCTGGGCCAGTTGTCATGTCGTCAAAAAAAAAACTTCGAGTTACGATGTATACCTACAAATGGTGCAAGTGCTAAATATTTATCTATTGTGTTTCAGATCCCCTGCCAGCTTTGGCAGCACCACCACAAGCACCGCCGGCCTCAGGACCAAGCCCACCACCAGCGGGCGTGAGTTCACCAGCGGAATCTGCTTATTGATGTACACATATTTTCCTGGGTCAATGACCTGTGTTCCGTCCCCGTGTCCCGTCCCCGTGTACTTTTATTTATAAAGTCCTTTTTTGTTAACCCGCGCACCGACGGGGGTCTGCCCCAACTTCGCACCGACGGGGGGGGCGGATGACCGCCCCCCCCCTGAGATCTCGAGAACGAAGCAGGATAGCGACAAACGGTAAACGGCATCGGATACGCACGGTCAAGATCTACAATTTTTACTAAGGTCATTTTCAGGTCAGGTCAAAGATGACGTCACAGGGGTCGAAAAGTCAAAATGGCGGCGCTAGATATGGAGAGTTTTTCTCGAATAACTTTCGAATTAGTCAAGATAGGAACAAACTAAGGGCATCATCGTGATCCTCTCGTCAATCCGCATCGAATGATATATATGTTGACCTCGAAAGGTCAAGGTCAAAGGTTGACCTCAGGTCACGTGACCTCGAGGTCATCATGTATATCATTCGATGCGTCTTGACGAGCTGAACACAATGAGACCATCCACGCGTCTGTATCTTGTTCCTGTACGGAGTTATTGGCCAAAAACCTTTGGTGACCTTTGATGACGTCACATGACCTCACAGCTGCCCAACAGCAAAACAGACCTCAAGGTAGTGAAGGTTGATCGTATATGAAGTCATGTATGGTATATGGGGCCATTCCGACCCGTTTTAGTGGTAAAAACAGGGAGTTGATTTTTCCCCCATTGACTTATAATGGGGAGGTCGCGAAATTGACCTGACCTTAGGTCACCGATATCAAAATTCTGAGATATACAAATTGTAGCTACTAATGACCTAATAACATCCTGCGACTTTCAAAGGCCTCCGACATTTACTGTAGCTCTGGCACGGTGACAAAGTTGCAAAAAAGTGACTTGAGGTTGGGTCATTCAAAGTGACCTGGTGACCTGACCTTGAAAGGTAGGAGGTTCAAACTTGCACACCATATGTAAAATTGATGAGGGAATAGTCATACCAAATTTCGCGCCGCTACGCGCCGCGGTTTTCTCGCTATTCGCGAAAAACCTCAAGGGGGGGGGGGCGGATATCCGCCCCCCCCCCTGTCGGTGCGCGGGTTAAATATGCTAACATAGACTACTCTATGTCAATGCAGTAGTCAGCATTACAGTAATATTAAAAGTAATACTGTAGCATATGATGCTAATAAAGGTAAAACTGGAAAGATGCAGATGACGTCATTCATAAATCATCTGGAATAATCACCTGTCCATTTATCTGTACCGGCAGGTTGACGGAGGCGGGTGTGCGGCTCTGGCGCAGCTGAGCCGTCGACCGCCGGAGCCAATCCGGCAGTCCGGCATTTCAGCTGCCGCACACTCGCCCGTCACAGGATCAGAGGCCTCCCCAGACAGGTTAGTTTGGGGGACGTTTTTGGGGGAGAGGAATCGATGCTCTGGAATTAATTTTATAACTACACCTACTTGATAACAAGCAAGCTGTTGATCATGCCATTTCTCAAAACCATTAAACCATTAAATTTACCGTTACCATACCATTAAATTTAAAGATATCTAATGAAAACATTTATTTTAGCTATCTCATTTCAGGTGCAGCTGAGAAGGTGACAGTCGCCACATCGCTCCTCGGGTGGTAAGAGTCCAATGTGAAATTGGAGAATGATTTAAGAGTGTTGTGAGAGTGTTGTGATAGCACAAGTGGAGTTTTACTTCATTTGGAGGCAATAATTTCATTGAATAACTTTTAGCATGACGTTTGACACATGCTTTATTCTTCTGCATATCGAGTATCGAGTCGTATATAGAATATCGAGGAGGATATCAAGTAGACGTGCTGTAGAAAATTGATTCATAAAATACGTTTGTAATTGTAAAAAGTGACGAACTACAATGCTCTGCCGTACCTATGCGATTTTTTTTTGCAAAGAAATAAGCTGCCACTAAACACAAGTCAATTGTCTAGGTGCTGGTAATACATCTATCGTCTTTTAGGTTCCCTGTCAGCATTGGCAGCACCGCCACCAGCACCGCCGGCCTCAGGACCAAGCTCACCACCAGCGGGCGTGAGTTCACCAGCGGAATCTGCTTATTGATTTTACAAATTGTCCGGTTATCGTGTCCCGTCCCCGTGCTCCGTTCCCGTGACCTGTTTGTATGTCTGTTTCCGTGTCCGGTTTCCGTGTGCCGTTTCCGTGTCCCCTTTTCGTGTCCAGTTCCCTTGTTTCGCTTCCGTGTCCTGTTTCCCGTGTCCCTTTCAAGTTTTGTTCCTTATCAAGTCCACCTTACGTTCATTCTAAATAATTGTGACTAGTCATGAAACTAGGAACATCATACATAAATTAGCTTGAATAATATTTTGTCCATTTACTACACCGGCAGGTTGACGGAGTCGGGTGTGCGGCTCTGGCGCAGCTGAGCCGTCGACCGCCGGAGCCAATCCGGCAGTCCGGCATTTCAGCTGCCGCACACTCGCCCGTCACAGGATCAGAGGCCTCCCGAGACAGGTTAGTCTGGGGGACGCTTCTTGTGTGATGCATATTTGTGATTCAACCTTTGTAGTTGCACCTCATAGGATGTGAATATTTTTTTCATCATTTACCGGTTAGCCCTTTGTATTGTCTCTATATATTTTTGATGGCGGCACTCAATTTCAGCTTCCCGTTTCCGACCGGCTGATACGGGTGAGCGGCGGCGGCGCAGCTGGGACGGTGAAATACAACACACCGCTCTGGTGGTCAGAGACCAATGTGACGCTCTGTTCAGTCGTTTGTGGCGCAGTTTGACGGTTTTAGTTCAAAATTAAATGAGATCCTATTGAGGGGTTGGCATAAGCTTTACTCTTCTGCATTTCCAATATTGATTCAATGATAGGATCTCAAGGATAGGATATCTCGTAGACGTCCTGTACTTTGTAGATTACTCAAAACTTTGTAGATTTTGTGACAGATAACGAATTACATCGATATGCGATTTTTGGCTCGGAACTAAATCGTAACTGACAATCAACGGTCAATAGCTAGGTGCTGGATATTCATCTCTGGTCTTTCAGCTCCAGACTCAGCATTGGTAGCACCACCACAAGCACCGCCGGCCTCAGGACCAAGCCCACCACCAGCGGGCGTGAGTACACCCGCGGAATCTGCTTATTGATGTACACATATTTTCATTGGTCGATGTCCTGTGTCCCCTCCCCGTGTCCCGTATATTTCCATTTTAAATATGTATTTTGGTATTTTTGTGTAGTCCTTTGCACTATGTATTGCGTATTTGTATTAACCCTCGCATGTGTAGGGGGGGGGGTCGGATGGACCCCCCCATGGTTTTTCGCGAATAACTCGCGTAAAAAGCGGCCGATCGCGACGAAACTTTCAGTACCCTCACATTGATCTATTTTACACCTACCCTAAAACTTTCATGACCCTGACCTAAATGACCTTTGACCTGTGACCTCTTTTCCGAGACCATGTCTGGCCGGAATTGCGATTCTGCGTATGTCGGCTCGCATTAGCCGCGCTAATGCGAATTATACGAAGCTGTCAGAGGCGGTTGACACGTTCTACGAATACCCGTCACGACGCCTACTGGTTGACCTGACCTGACCTGACACGACCTGGTCTAAATGCTTCAAGACATCATCTGTGATCAAAACTAACGTGTCGGCTGGCAAACGCCGCAAACTAAACTATGCGCAAACCCTCGCATGTGTGCGGCGTTTGCCAGCTTCTAATGTGTAGGGGGGGGGGGGTCGGTTGGACCCCCCCCCCCCTTGCCGTTTGGCCCCTGATCGAGCTAGAGCTTCGCGGAAAGAACGAGCGTGTTGCCCGTGACGAGAGAAAGCCGATGATACCCAATTTTAAGGTCCTAGGTCATTGGTTGACCTTCTAGGTAAGGTCAATGACCCAAAGTCGGGAAAATCGGGACCTATTAGAAGGTCGTAAAGTGTGGCTGCTAAGGGGTTTTCGGGGTGCTGATCACGAATATCGTGTTAGTTTTCATCACAGATGATGTCTCTAAGCATTTAGACCAGGTCGGGTCAGGTCAGGTCAGGTCAACCAGTAGGCGTCGTGACGGGTATTCGTAGTAAGTGTCAACCGCCTCTGACAGCTTCGTAACATGTTACGAAGGCACCAAAACTGCTTTGTAAATGTTTAAATGGTTGCTCAATTCGAATTCAGCTCCAAAAACTAGCCTAGAAACATGTAAAACTCGAAAAAGTGAACCGAGGTCACCCGAGGTCACCAAAGGTCAATGACCTGACCTGACCTTCAGGTGACCTTGACACCCACCCTAATGCATGGGAGTAACATCAAATCACATGTTTGAACGTTTGAAACCACGAAAAGCTTGCAAACGCGCGGCTAATGCGAGCCGACATACGCGGAATCGCGATTCCGGCCAAACATGGTCTCGGAAAAGAGGTCACAGGTCAAAGGTCATTTGGGTCAGGGTCATGAAATTTTCAGGGTCGGTGTAAAATTGATCAATGCGAGGGTACTTAAAGTTTCGTCGCGATCGGCCGCTTTTTACGTGAGTTATTCGCGAAAAACCATGGGGAGGGGTCCATCCGACCCATCCCCCCCTACACATGCGAGGGTTAATCATATCCAACAGTTTATATATCTCTAATGAAAACATTTGTTTTCGCTATCTCATTTCAGGTGCTTTTGAGAAGGTCAAAGACACCACTTCGCTCTTCGGGTGGTAAGAGTCCAATGTGAAATTGGAGAACGATTGAAGAATGTTGTGTAGCACAAGTGGAGTTTTACTCCATTTTGAGGCAATAATTTCATTGAATGACTTTTAGCATGACGTTTGACATGTGCTTTATTCTTCTGCATATCGAGTATCCAGTCGTATTTAGAATATTGAGGAGAATATCAAGTAGACGTGCTGTAGAAAATTGATTCATAAAAGACGTTTGTAAAAAGTGACGAACTACAATGATCTGACGTATGCGACTTTTTTTGCACGTGAATAAACTACCATTAAGCACAAATCAATTGTCAAGGTGCTGATAATACATCTATCGTCTTTCAGGTTCCCTGTCAGTATTGACAGCACCACCACCAGCACCGCCGGCCTCAGGACCAAGCCCACCACCAGCGGGCGTGAGTTCACCAGCGGAATCTGCTTATTGATTTTACCAATTGTCCGGTTATCTTGTCCTGTTTCCGTGTCCCGCTTCAGTTTTGTGCTTTATGGAGTCCGCCTTTCCTTTATTCTAAATAATTTCGTGTACATGAATCTAAAAACACCATTCATAAATCAGCTGGAATAATCACCTGTCCATTTACTGCACTGGCAGGTTGACGGAGGCGGGTGTGCGGCTCTGGCGCAGCTGAGCCGTCGACCGCCGGAGCCAATCCGGCAGTCCGGCATTTCAGCTGCCGCACACTCGCCCGTCACAGCATCAGAGGCCTCCCGAGACAGGTTAGTTGGGTGGACGATTTTTGCATGATGCATACCTGTTTATGTTCCAACGTTTGTGAATATACTTGATACGAGGCGATGTGTAGTTAGCAGCATTCACAAATGACACCAGCCCCATAATTATTGCATTACCAGCCCCGGTGATGACGCGTTTTCCTTCCGCTGTTAGCGTCGCCAGATCCCCGTGAGGCCAGCTCTCTCCATAACGGTGAACAGAGCCCAGGGACCGCCGCTCAGTGGTTATACAGCCGGTCAGCTGACTCCTGGGTATCCTTTCAGCCCCCACGGTCACCTGGTCCGGCCGTCCGGAGAGTCGAGTTCTGGACAAACGGCTGCCGTCGGCCGTCTGGTGGATAGCCGTCTGTCACCCAGTGGCAGTCCGTCTACGAGCAGCGCACACCGAGATGGGATGCTCGGGGCCAGATGGCTGCCGTGTCTTCCCTCAGGAAATGGTGTGTGGGCTCTGCACTACCTGAGGGGTCTCGGGCGATAATAGAGACGCAGTCCGATGTGGCAGCCTCCACGTGGCGGATTGCGGGTCATGCTAATAGCCACACAGAGCCACACGTAAGTATTGCACTGTAGTATTCACCAGATTTGAGTGTGTTGCAGGAACCTGACACGTGACGTCACCTGTACCGCTGTTTCCGCTTCCAATCACGACGTGGTGAAGTGTGCTCTGGAGGCCGGCTCTGCTGCTGACCAGAGGACGCACGAGCGTCACACCGGGCTCTCCGACAGTATCTCCCGAGTCCCGGTGGCGTCTGGACGCCACCATCCGTTTACCTATCACTAGTACGTAACTGGTTATACAGGGTGATCCAAAAAATTTGGAACCCCTAACTTAAAATGTCTGTAAGTCCGAAAGTATTCACTTTATTGACAAATTGCAAACACCATTAGAAAGACCAATAAATCCTCTATGAAATCACGGTCAAATTAGTTTATGTATGTTGTAAAGCATTGACACACTATTAGCTTTTGGAATGAGCGTCAGAAAACTGAGTGAAACGAAATCGCCAATTGTTAACAATGCACTGAAGTCCGTTAGCACTCCATCTGTTGTTTTTTTTTTTGCGAATAACACCACATCCAATTTCAATTTTATTACATAAAAGTTTACACAGAAGCACACAATAGAACAAATACACGCGTCCTAGCTTCCGCTGTTCATCACAGCATGTGCTCAAACCGAGCTCCGTTAGCCGTCACGCAGGCTTGCAGTCGCTTCGGGACGGTTCCGACGGCGCAGGCCAGCAGTCTCTGGGACAGCTGACCCAGCAGGCCGTCAGCCTTTCCTTCAGCTCCTCTATGGTGCTGATCCTCTGACCTCTATACATAATTCGCTCCAGTTTGCTCCACACGAAGAAGTCCAAAGGGTTGAGGTCAGGACTCTTCGGTGGCCAGGCATCTGGCTCGATGAAGGCCGGGCAAGCCTGTTCCAGAAACTCGACCACTGAGTGGGCCGTGTGGCACGGAGCACCGAATGATTTTTTTTTTGCTCCTGTTGAAATTTAAATTCCTTACAATAGCACGTGAATGAGCTATTTTTATTCATGAACCTCCAACATGCGACATGGTCAGAACAGCAAACCGCAAATCACTGATTTGCGCATAATGTTCGAAACCGTTTCAGTGAGTTTCGTGACACAAATTTTATAGGCATATAACTAGGGCCATATTTGTAATAATAGGTAAGTTCAATCAGCTTGGTTTTATAGAGAATTGAACGCTCTTTCTAACGGTGTTTGCAATTTGTCAATACTGTGAAAACTTTCGGACTTACGGACATTTTAAGTTAGGGGTTCCAATTTTTTTGGATCACCCTGTATATAACACTTGAATGCCTATCTTATTGGCAGGATGACGCCTACCTTTTGAAACAGGTCTTAATCGTAACTGCAATGCTGATGTGTCACGTCGCTCTGTCAGATGCGTTCCTTCACCCTGATGTTGTGTTTATAACTAGAGAGTAGCCCCTCGGTAGCAGCGTGCGACTGCCCCTGTCCGGCGCCCCCGGGTGCTGGCTACCGCTGCCGCCGGCGGTGACCTGGTAGGTACAGCGCCGGCAGCCGCAGCGGCCGCCACTGGAGTGAGCCGCGGCGGCTGGACGACGCTGCCGGCCGCGCTCTGTCGTCTGTCCCCAACGGCGTGTCCCGGGCCGGGCCGCTGCCGAGACCGTCTCTCTCCGGATAGCGGGCCGTGCAGCAGCAGCACCCAGACGGCACCGGCTGCCGCCCGGCTCGGCTCCCGGCCAGCCGTCGGCGCGACCCTAGCGACCAGAGGCCGCCGGACACCACCGGAGCGCGGAACACCGCCAGAGCCGTGTCAGAGGGCTCCGGAACACCTCCAGAGCCGTGTCAGAGGGCTCCGGAACACCTCCAGAGCCGTGTCAGAGGGCTCCGTAACACCTCCAGAGCCGTGTCAGAGAGCTCCGGAACACCTCCAGAGCCGTGTCAGAGGGCTCCGGAACACCTCAGTGTCAGATAGCTCCGGAACACCTCCAGAGCCGTGTCAGAGAGCTCCGGAACACCCCCA